GGGTTACTTCAAAAATTCTAATAGGATCCCTAATTTTGGTTAAAGGTATGTTCCTTAATTAAAGGTCTCTGAAGGTCTGGGTTCGTTGCTCTCAATTCTGAATGCCAGCACGTGAGTCTGAGAACCAAGGTAAAAGGTTCAAGGTATCGGGTTTAGGGTTTTAGGGTTTTAGGGTTTTAGGGTTTTAGGGTTTAGGGTTTAGGGTTTAGGGTCATACCTATTCTAGTGATTCTGGTGTCACTATGATCCACAGAGCCGGTACGGTACCCCTTAGTTAAGGAATAGACTTCTCAGCATGAAAAGCTGTTTGAGACACACTCCTTACTTGACTGATCTTGGGCTCTCTGTGTAAGCCCCTCCTGTAAAACTTTTGACTACAACCGTTACAGCCTCCTGGCCGCAAGCCCTAGACCCGAACCCGCCCTAAACCCTAAACCATAAACCTCTCTGGGGCAGCTCTGCAGGCGTGGCACTTGGATGACTCCAACAGCTTCATCCTCCATGCGCGCACGGATATCAACGACGGAGAGGCGTCTCTGTCTATGTTTTAGTGCGTAATGTAGGGGCCTTAATCATTAGAACAGGGTTTTGGGGTCGATTCACTATAAGTATAATAAGGAGCCCCCAGAACCCGATTCTAATTGTTAAGGCCCTTGCATTGGCCCGAAGCCCTCCCCGAACCCTAAATCCAAAACACCAGAACCCCAACAGAGGTTTGAATCGTTAGGAACAGTGTCCCTGTCTCGTCCCTGCATCATTACTTGGAGGGTCGGGGGACTTAGTAAGTAGGTAATAAGTAGACGTAGAAGTACCCCAAAAGAGACCCTAATTGGGGTTATGATACTTATAAGTCTATAAAATAACAACTTACTAAGTCCCCCGACCCACCAAGTACCTCCCCAGAACCGTATTTAAACCTGCTCCAAGCAATCAGACCCTGATATTACGGTTTGCAACCTTCTAGTTCGGTTCTTTTCAGGAGGTGACCGTCCAAACACCGGAATTTTTTTCCTGAATGGTGAACGCTTAAACCTTGAACCACCAAGAAACCCTAAATCCATAAAGCCCAAAGCCCTAGAGCTTTTGCGAGACCTGACACCTTGAAGGGTTTCTCTTTTGAGAGGTGACCATCTCCTGCAGCTGTCACAAACACCCTGAATAGAACCCCAAACCTTAAACCTTCGAAACCCCCTAAACCCCAAAATCTAAACCCAAACCCCCTACGGACCCTTAATCCTACTAAACCCTTAAAGGCTTTTCTGTAGGAGTCTACTTGTTACCTACTTACTTCTGCCCGAACCTCGAAGTAAACCCTGAACCCTACACCCCTAAACCCTTAAAGGCTTCTTGCCCCTAAAACCCCTAAACCCCTAAGCCCCTAAACCCCTAAACCTTCAACTCAAACCCCCGTAGACCCTAAGCCCTAAACCCCTAAACCCTTTAGAGGCTTCTGTGTTAGGAGAACTCCCCCTTTAAGGGAACCCTTCGATAGGAGCCCTTAAAGGAAACCCCAAAAGGAACCCCTAAGGGAACTCTTCAAGGAGCCCTTAAAGGAAACCCTTAAAGGAATTCTTCATGGAACCCTTAAGCGAACCCCGTAAAGGTTTCTTTCAGGAGGTAAGTCGATTACCCTAAACCCTAAACCCTAAACCCTAAACCCTAAACCCTAAACCCTAAACCCTAAACCCCTCCACCCGAAAAGCCCTAAAGGCCTAGATCCTCACCCCTATAGACCCTAAACCTTAACGGTTTAGGGTTTAGGGTTTAGGGTTTAGGGTTTAGGGTAAACCTTAAAAGCAACAAAACCCCTAAACCCTTGAACGGCTTCCTTTCTTAGGACCCTAAACCCTAAACCCTAACCCCTAAACCCCAAACCCTAAACCCTCACCCCTATAGACCCTCCCATAAAGGAGCCCCTAGAGGCACTCTTAAGGGAACCCGTTAGGGGAACCCTGTGGACCCCAAGCCCTTGAAAGGCTTCCTTTCTCAGGAGGTGACCAACTCCTAAACCCCAAGCCCTAAACCCTCACCCCTTTAGGGTTTAGGGTTTAGGGTTTAGGGTTTAGGGTTTAGGGTTTAGGGTTAAACACCCACACCCTCCTGGAATCCCCAAACACCCGAACTCCCTTCTGAGTCCTGGCCGGACCGGTGGAAAAGCAGGGTTC